AGACCTGTGTGAAATACACTCACATACAAATCTGTGTGAAATACACTCACAATACAGACCTGTGTGAAATACACTCACATACAAATCTGTGTGAAATACACTCACATACAGACCTGTGTGAAATACACTCACAATATAGACCTGTGTGATATACACTCACATACAGACCTGTGTGAAATACACTCACAATATAGACCTGTGTGATATACACTCACAATATAGACATGTGTGATATACACTCACAATATAGACCTGTGTGATATACACTCACAATATAGACCTGTGTGATATACACTCACAATATAGACCTGTGTGATATACACTCACAATATAGACCTGTTTGAAATATAATGTAAAATTCTGAGAAAACACAAAAATGAAGAATGTGTAAAATACACTATACCAAGAACCAACTTGTTCAGATGTGAGAATGTACATCAGTTTCAGATAATTTTGCATGTACTTCTCATATTGAAAAGATAGAGCATCTAATCAGTCATCAGGTTTGAAGGTTTGCAGTTTTTATTTATCACTTGAACTGTAATTACCTAGCTGCTGCTACTGGTGGATGGGATTTTTTTTGAGAGCTACAACATTTCAAACAGGACAAACGGAAGCTCACCGTTGGTTTACAGGTTGTCAGACAACTGGCCTGTTAACTGGACAAGGTCAAGAAAGACTATTTTAAACAAGATGTAGTACTGATATTAGAGAACTGACCTGTAAAATGGACAAGGTCATGTAAACTTAACTACTTTTACACAGGTTGTGGTACTGATATTAGAGAACTGACCTGTAAACTGGACAAGGTCATGTAAATTTAACTACTTTTACACAGGTTGTGGTACTGATATAAGATAACTGACTTGTAAACTGGACAAGGTCAAGGTAACTCAACTATTTTTAAACAGGTTGTGGTACTGATATGAGACAACTGGCACATGTTTCAGTGACAACCTACTGTTACATATAGCATGGTTTGGTTATATCAACTAAACAATACTGAGATAATTTTTGCATATATCAACATATCAGTAAATAAAACTGAAACCAGCCTACAAAACTTATCATACAATTCCTCACAATTTCTCATAGTACTCACTTTATAGCAAACATTTTTATTTCCTGAGTTACTTCTTTTTCTCTATCTGTTAATTCAGTCTGCCTCTGGCTAATTAGTGTCTGGACATTTTCAATATAGCTGTATTTTTCCTTGATTTTTGAAAGCAGCGTGGCCAAGTAACTTCTGTGTTGTTCGCAAGCAGCTGAAAGAAACTGGTACTTGTGGTCTTTATGCTCCAAAAGTTGACAGTCTCGACACGTTAACTTGTCACAGCTTTCACAGTACAACTTCAGAGGTTCCTGAAATTGCAAGCAACATCTTAGCAATATTAAGAAGAAGAGTAATAAAATAACTTATAACCTGAAATGTATAATAAAACACTCTCAACCTTCAGAAATAGTGACAACAACAAAAAGAATAATAAGCTTAATAAACTATACTAATTAAAATATTCCAATACCATTACAACTACAAAGTCAGAAAGTTATTTCCTAACTCATACTTTAGTAAATATTTTATTTATGGCCTTCTAAGAAATCATGCATAACAATGATCTAATCGGTTAGTTACCACACCTTTGAATGCAAGGGACAAAAATGGTATTTCTGACCAAGTCCTGTTGTTTTTTCCCCTTCCATCTCATTACGCGGTCGTATACTGTGATCCTTGGTTACCCGAACTCGCTGGTGAGCCTGAACACATGCTTCGCACAGCCACTCCTGGCAATCTGTACAGAACCCAGAGGCTGAAGCACTCTCCTCACAGTTTGTACAACATGGTCCTTTCCTGTCCTCACCTTCATGTGCCAAGTTCTCCAAGATAAATAGATGTTCTATGGAAACATCAGGGTTAACTTCTTCCATACAGACTGGACAGGTTACAGGCTTGGTTGCTAAAATTGAAAACATATCGACTCAAACAAATAAATGTAACGACAACTGAGCAAACATTTACAGTTTTCAAACTCAAGACTTTCCAATAATAACAAGGCTAGTTTACAAAGAAACTAAAAACACTGAATTTAATTTCACGCATGAAAATTATAATCAGAGGTTAAATGTGTTTGGGACTTAATTCTACACATGCTCCTTCATTAAGACACATTTTCCTTCTTAACCCCCACCACTGTATGAGACTTAATTCTACACATGCTCCTTCATCAAGACACATTTTCCTTGTTAACCCCACCACTGTATGGGACTTAATTCTACACATGCTCTTTCATCAAGACACATTTTCCTTGTTAACCCCACCACTGTATGGGACTTAATTCTACACATGCTCCTTTATTAAGACACATTTTCCTTGTTAACCCCGCCACTGTATGGGACTTAATTCTACACATACTCCTTCATCAAGACACATTTTCCTTGTTAACCCCACCACTGTATGGGACTTAATTCTACACATGCTCCTTCATCAAGACACATTTTCCTTGTTAACCCCGCCACTGTATGGGACTTAATTCTACACATGCTCCTTCATCAAGACACATTTTCCTTGTTAACCCCACCACTGTATGGGACTTAATTCTACACATGCTCCTTCATCAAGACACATTTTTTCTGCTAAGTCTAAAAGCCAAAGTTTAGCTTGATGTCTTAAATTTGTAAGGAACAACACACACATTCAAATAAAGTCACCAGAAGAACAGTTCACATAACAGGCATTAGATACACTGACTTAGTGGACAGTTGTGATCAGGTAAACAGTTAAGATAACAGGCATTAGATACACTGACTTAGTGGACAGTTGTGATCAGGTAAACAGTTAAGATAACAGGCATCAGGTACTAGTGTTTACAATGGGTAGAAATTTCTGACCCAGGCACCCAAGGATCAATACCCATCGGGTACCTGTTAGTTTACTTAGTTTTAAAAATCAATGGAAACTAAAAGACTTTTTAGCCTAAGGTTGGGCAGCCGATATTTGCAGTTTTGTAAATTTGGAAAACTAAAGTCATGGGGAATGAGATTAAATGAGAATATACAAACATTTCAAAAAGGTTTAAAACTAATGGAAAAGGTTCTACGAAAAATCATGAAACTGAAGTAAAGCATTTGCTCATGGTAGGTTAGTTAAACTAGGCCTACTGCTTACTGGACTGTCTGTGATGCTCAATGTGTGTTCAGTGTCACTTCTGAATTAACTGTATTTTGGATGCCTTTTTTTAATTTTTCCATCCCAGACACAAGCAAGTGTTTGTGGCTTACAGAGCAGTTGCAACTTTTCAAGCCATGCTTACTGTTTTTGGTTTTTATGTGCCTGGCTTAGCCTGGATAAATAACTAGCAGAAGACTTTTTGTTCTGTGACTGTTATTACTTTGTTCTGACTTCTCAAATATTTGCAGTGAATTATTGAGTTTTCAGCTTGTAGTCAAAGCAATGAGCAGTGAAGGCAAACACATGCTTCATCAGTTTGTTTTTGCAAATCAATGTTTGTGTCAGAACTGAGGTAGCCAACTGGAGAATCTGATTGCAATGTGAAGCTGTTGAAATTAAAACAGCAGCACAAAACACAGTACACATAGTCAACTGAATGAATTTTTTTACCAGGAAGTTCATCAGAAAGCTGATCTAGCCCCACCCCTAACTGGAGTTTCTTATGATGTCAAGTCAAACCAAGGATGTGTTAGAGCTCCCAGGTCATAACGTTATGTGTATCCAGTAAATAATAGTAGTACACTATCACTGGTGGGGATAAGGCTTATGGTACTATCAGAGAGAAAAGAACACATGGAAAACAAAACAAATATGCAGCGAAGCTTTGGTAAATTCTTTTTTCTTTAGTTAACATACACAAAGCATGCATGCCATTCTGTTCTCGATATTTGCACTTAGATGACCTTGGAAAGTTGAAATACTGAGAAAAAAAATTAAAAGAATGCATGTAGTTTGATGTTAGTCATTGCTTTGATGAATGTGGTATTAGTTGTAATAGTTGTCAGGCAGGTATTCGGTGTAAGCTTTATTAGATACACTGATTTAGTGGACAGTTGTGATCAGGTAACTTTCCTACCAGACACGAGAGCAGCTTGAAAACTAACCCAGCAGTGTATCCTCTTTCCTGTAGCTGAACTTAATTATTGATAATGGGCTTTCCATCCTCTACAGAATAAAAGTGGCTCATCATTATTTTGTGCATTTAAGCACATCTTGTCATCATTCATTTTAAACCCACCTCATATATTTTCTACAGTTTCTATGTCTCTCTTTTAAAAAAAGGTAGAATTCAGATTAATGCCGTCTAAACTGTTATTTTCAAACAGAATAAACATGAGATGCAACAAATACACCATAAATATGGAAACATACAATAATGTTTCCTGCTCCAATGAAACTTAATTCTAGTAATGTAATATGGCTGAGAAAACATGCATGAAGAGTAAATATGAAAACATAAAAAATTACTATTTCCAGAATGCCAGGTACATTAAACCACAGAAATATTTAGTGTTCTACTGCTGTTACTGGTGATAACAATCATATTTGTATTTTAAAACAAGTGATAGATACACATACGTCGTATTACATTACAAATTGACTTGACACGTGTAAAAAATTAATGTCAATGATTAAGCTTATTGATGTTATTACAAATTTACATACTGACAACAAAATGTGAAAAATTATTTATACAAAACAGAGTTTGCTTTTAAATTCAGTGCCTAAAGATTATATTTAAAAATCTTCATGAACTTTGACAACTTTGAATAAATTACCTTCTTAATCTTATTTTAAGCACAACAAAAAAAACTGTATTTTGAGATGGGTGTTAAGAACCTGAATCATGAAACTATAGATGAAATGAGAGAGTACTACGAGATTTATTTCTGGGTCAAATAGGTGATTATTATGTGGTTACATCAACCTTCATAGTTACGACTTTGTTTGTAAGGCAGTCATTAACTGACCACAAACTGTTACTTGCTGTACATTTGAAGATGAATGGCAATCAGCTTGATTGTTAGACTATAGGATGCCTACTGTGACTTGTAATTATTCCATAATTACCATACACACTTGTTTCAAAGTACCAGTTTTATAGTGAGTATTTGTTAGAATACATCATTGTGTCACAGACAACACATCACGCTATCACAATGAGACGAAAACACACTGAACAGATCCAAAACTAACAGGCTGTGAGAAGAAAACAAGATGTAAATGCTGTCATTCATTGTCTTAATCGAATAATTTAAATGTTCACTCTCAGATTTTAAATCTCCAGGATATTACACCCCCAGTTCTGAAATTCTGTATTTCTTTTCCTGTGAAACTTAGATCAAATTGTACAATGTGATCATTCTTTCACTTTCCTGTGAAACTTAGATCAAATTGTACAATGTGATCATTCTTTCACTTTCCTGTGAAACTTAGATCAAATTGTACAATGTGATCATTCTTTCAGTTTCCTGTGAAACTTAGATCAAATTGTACAATGTGATCA